ATGTTGCAGCGCATTCCTTAAAAGACCCGTGAACGGTGAAACATTTTATCTTTGACTTGGCCTGTGATGTCATCGGTGACCCCGAGGTCAATGAAATTGAAGTTCCCTCGACAAATTTAACAAGGCTATCGAACGCCATTTAAATTTTACCGATCCGTCATAGTAGCTTCGGAGATTCGGGGGGGGGGGGTCAAAAATCCCCCCCCTCCCACCGCGCGGAAGGTAGCCGGGAGGCCCACCGCTTGCCGGGTTAAAACTCAGATCTTGAGAGCGATTACCGTTGTTCAATGCTTTGCATCAAAATCGGCCGAACATGATGTCACTCTGGCGTCATTTCCGGCCGATCTATAGTAGCTACGAAAATTTTATTAGTGCACAAGGTGTCAAATAAATTGATGCAGCCGAAGGTCCTAAAAGCTTTGTTTTGATACGTCCAGCGGTTTTAAAGATATTGCGTAAACACGAGAGGGGCTATGAATAGCCCTCCCCACAGTAGGGTGGGGGTTAACCCTCGCCCGTATTGGTGTTTTTCAGCCACGAACGTTTAAGGGGGGGTCCGTTGAACCCCCTCCTTGCCGTTTCGCCCCTGATTGAGCTAGAGCTTCGCGGAAAAAACGAGCGTGCTGCCCGTGACGAGAGAAAGCCGATGGTACCCAATTTTATCCTAGGTCGTCGGTCCTAGGTCATCGGTTGACCTTCCAGGTCAGGTCAATGACCCAAAAGTGGGGAAAACTGGGACCTGTTAGAACGTCGTAAAACGTGGCTGCTATTGGGTTTTTTAGGGAACTGATCACGAATATCATGTTAGCTATGATCATAGATGATGTCTTCATGCATTTAGGCCAGGTCGGGTCAGGTCAGGTCAGGTCAACCAGTAAGGGTTTTGCCGGGTATTCGTAGTAGGTGCACTAGGTGGCAACCGCCTCTGACAGCTTCGTAACATGTTACGAAGGCACCAAAACTACTTCGTAAATGTTCATATATGGTTGTTAAATTCGAAATCAGCTAAAAAAACTAGCCTAGAAAGATGCTGATAAAACTCGAAAAAGTAAACCGAGGTCATCAAAGGTCAATGAACTGACCTGACCTTCTGGTGACCTTGACATCCACCCTAATGCATGGGAGCAGCATCATATCCCATGTTTGAACGCTTGAAACCACGAAAGGACTGCAAACGCGCGGCAAATGCGAGCCGACATACGCCGAATCGCGATTCCGGCCAAACATGGTCTCGAAAAGTAGGTCACAGGTCAAAGGTCATTAGTCAGGGCCATTACATTTTTTAGGGTAGGTGTAAAATTGATTATAACTCGAGGGTACTGAAAGCTTCGTTGCGGTCGGCCGCTTTTTACGCGAGGTATTCGCGAAAAACCGAGGGGGAGTCCGTTCGACCCCCCCCCCCCCCTATACGGGGGAGGGTTAACAAGCCAAAACGTTGCTAATTTTTATTTTGATCTGACCTGTGACGTCAACGGTGATCTCGAGGTCAATAAAATTAGGTTTTGCTCGACAGTTTTTCCAGGGCTATCAGACGCCGTTTCAGTTTTGACAATCGGCCCAGTAGTTTCGGAGTTGGAGCGGGGGGGGGGGTTCTATAAATAGCCCCCGCCTCCCCCAGTGGAGTGCGTTACAGAACATACCCCAGTGGGGCGCTGGTTAAGAGTAGAATTTTTGAATTATTGCCAACACTCAACACTGCACCTCATGGCAATTAATTCATTATAGGGCATTTTACCTGAACCAGCCTCTGGCCTAATGTCCCAAATTTGCTAAATTCCTCACCCTACAAATCCCCTGTTCTATTAGATGCTGCCATTTTTTTAAAACAACTTATCTTAAATCCTTGTTTCATCAAACTGGGAGCTAGGTCACGGGACACTGCGAGTCAAGGTGGGAGGGGTAGGAGATAGAGTGTCACTGCAGCACACACAATCAATCTTTCCATTGGTTTATCTTATATCAATGCCTGCTCTTTTCCAGAGCTGGCTTTCGAAGTTCGAACCTTCGGTATATGGCTACCAATGCCCTTGGAGAAGGTGTTGCGTGATAAATCGCTGGAAGGGCGACATTCAACGATTGTGTGAAAAGAGACCGATTGCATTGTGATGATAAAGTGAACTGTAATAATTGTTGTTCATGCGCGTTGTTTGGTTATGTGCAGACGTAACTTTGTTTGTGGCCAAATGCTTTTTATGTGTGAAATATTTCATGTAGGTTACTAGGTAGATGCTTTGGAAAAGTGAAGAGCTGCTTTGTCGACTGCTAGGTAGATACTGTCATGCATGCTGTTGTGCATCAGTAAGTGGCTGTCGTAATGATAAACAAATTTGGCATGGATAGGCTAAAGCACAGCATATGAAGCATGCTGGTTGATGACTAGTAAGATCCTGTTAACCGACTGGTAATATCACAATAAATGTCACATAGTAAACTATTGTTTTACGATGGTTGGCCAGCAAAGCAAAGCTGGTATCCAGATGACAAAAGGATGGTTTTACCATGATAAGTCATTAGTAAGCATTACCAGGGAGTAGCTAACGATAGTAAAGTCCTAGTTTCGTGCTAGTATCACGTGGGTTTTTGGGCATGGTATGACGACATATAGTTACCGTGTTAATACCATGGTAATTTTTACTGGCATTGGTATTCACATGGTTTTACATTCATATTAGGCCTAGTATTTGGGTCGTAAGTTAGTTTACCATAGGTAAGAGGCTGTTCAAAATATGACCACCACTCGAAAACTAACTAGGGTGGTATTTTTCTTAGTAGGCGGTACCAGGATAATACTAGCGTTAGTAGAGCTTTGGTTTCTTATTAGTTATGCTTTAGTTTCAAGGTAGTATGATGAAAAAATATTACCGTACTAAGACCATGGTATTTTGATGAGCATTGGTAGTTGCATAGTATTCCTTTGATATTGGGCCTAGTATTTGGATCGTAAACTGGTTTACCATAAGTAAAAGGCTGTTCAAAATATGACCACCACCCAAAAACTAACTAGGGTGGTATTTTTTTCTTTCAGTGTGACGGGGCTGAGATACAGGGGAGTCCGCCTCCGAAACGGCGCCGTGTGGATCTGAGAACGGTTTGGTTTGGTGGTTTGGTGGTTTGGAGACGTGAGTAAAGCTCGACTTGACCAAGTTTTTTATACATTCCTTGTTGACCGGCGTAGAAGTTGAGACAACCATTGGCACGTGGTACTGGCATTCCCAGCCTCGCGTTTAGAGAGTTCGACAACATTTTTGAGAGGGAGGATGGTTTGGATAGATGGCCGATAGTTGTTGACCGGCGGCCGAAGTTGTGGATAGGATGATGCCGTATGTCTGGCACAAATGGTATCGCTTTGCGCTAAACGGACAACTTATGACATATGGCCCTAAATACCGTACTGGATCGGTATCAGGCACCAATGATGTGAGTGACGATCCGTCACGGTTAAGAGGTACTATATGTTTTTTCACATAGGCTTAATTTTACACATGGAATAGCAACGAACTATGCTAAAGTTTATTCTAATTTGCACAATCAGTTCATGACACTTAGTAATATGTCTTTGCTTACCAAGAAAAGCATTTCGATCACGAATAAAGGGAACAAGGGAACTAAGGAAAAAACTTATTCCCTTCCCACATAAAGGGGAAGGGAATAAGGGAACAATTAATGCACATTATTATTTTGCCATACTTACAAAAGTTACTTGACAAACCTACACATCATCCGATAATAAGATAGACTGATATGCACGAGTGAATTTCTTAAAGGATAATTGGCATTTTCATCCGGAATCATCCTACCACAATTTCCGGTTTCCAATTTCCAATTTCCGGTTAGTACGAAGAGGCTCTACAAGCTACTCATAATGCGCAAGAAAAGTTGCACCTTCTGGAGGTGAGTAGCATGGTGGGATTGCACGCCTCGTTTGCAGTTGTTAGGCGATCTGGAGAGGTGCTCGGGAGGCTCAAACCCGCTCTCCACCTGCGCTCAGCCTATAGGGGATTGCTCTGAGCAGCTACCTTAGGCTTTATTGATCAGGGGTCGCCAAGGTCAGCCCGGTGGCTGGTGTCGTATCGAACGGATCCTGGGGCGAGTGACCGGTCGAACTTTACGCTGCCGGTGACTAGATGACTCTTTAATTGGTCGACCGGTCATTGGTGGCGGGCGGGGTCACGTGAGGGCTGGTCGGGCGCGGTGCCGGCCCGGGCATGGGGCGGTTCAGGATGGTTTCAGGGTGATGATTGATGTAATGCCATGGCCATCATAAGAAAAGTCATCACCTGACATGTGGCGTCACTAATGGCACTGGGTGTCACAACTGCACTGGCTGTCATTTATATTCTCATCTGACGTATTTGTTGTCACATGATGTCAGCGATATAAATTCAACGTCTTTCCCGAACTGAACAGGAACTACTTGATATGCTGAAGAAAGAGCAATGCATTACGGATTTCTGCGACTGGGTCTGGGACCCAGTTACATCAGCTGCACGCCATGTGAATATCTTAGACCTTTCAGTGAATATTCACGAAATCGTTTGGCACAGTCCATGGCGGCAAATCAACTATTGATTCCTTCGACGGGCCTGACGACCACCAGCTTGTTTTTCCACCTGGCTCCGATCGTTCAGTCCTTTGTCGGCTGACTGTTGTGCCAAACTACCCACTCACCGTCATCAGTGTCGACTTACGGCGCTGAAAAAGACCATTTCCTGGGTCGGCGGTGCGAAGTGGAGTTGCTGAGTGTCTGACTCTCTGGGTCGGTGCAGCTCGCGGTGAGCGGCTGCGGCGGCCCGTCGGTGCCGGCGGTCGAGGTCGGCTCCGGCGCGCCGCGTCTATATAAACGCCGAGCATCGCCAGGTGACCTCAGAGACTGGTCGGCTCCGGAGCAGGAACAGCGCCGCGCTCGGCGGCCAGGGGACGAGTGCGTGCGCTTCATCTGTTGATTAAAGACCGACAAATTGATTGCAGCTTGTTATTGGAGGACTTACGAACGGTTCAAAATGATTTACGTTAGAGAAAAACCCAGGAGACGGATGAAAACCTTGTCGTTCTGTGAAGACCTGTTGCTGTCGCTGCTACCGCTGCTGGTGGTGACTGCCGTGTGGCTGGACGCCGCGGCTGCCAGCGAGTTTCCTGAGCGCGAGTGCTGCGACTCCATACCTCCACTGCCAGCTCAGTACACCACACCGCCCGCATCTGGGGTGACCGAACAGCCCAAGACGAGCACTTCAACAACGGTCAGACCGACAGGTGGGTACGCTGTTTGTCATCACTACCACCGTAACTACGCTACTGCTGGGTCGTACTTTGGGGTAGAGAGCATACTCGTTGGTCGCTGCTGGATCCGGGACTGCAGGTTGTTCAAAAAGGACGGTGCTAGGTCTTATTCCTATATTTTATTCCTTGCTTAAGTATGTTGATGTGACTGCGGCATGGGGTTGCGGAGTCGATGGATTTTTGGTGACTCCGACTCTGGCTTCAAAAATCGAATCCGATCCGACCTCAGCTCTGCAGCTCCGAATCCGGATTTTACCCTTGAAGACCATATCATGACAGTAAAGCTCATGTTGGCGACCTTCTTAAGCGATCATTTGCGCGTTTCATCGCCTTGCTTTGCAAATATATTTTTTATAGCATGCCAAACTAAAAGCAGATTCTGTTGCAGCCGCGATCTTCTGCTTTTTCTCTGAAAATGCCCGTCCAAAACATGAATGTGATCTAAGCTTCGGCGTGGAAAGGTCAACGAGCTTGATGTTGTCAAGCAAACAGGTGTAGGGTAGGGCAATGCAGTGTTAACTCCGACTCCGGAGTCGGAGTCAGTTATATCTTGCGACTCCGACTGCGACTCTGATTCCGGGAAAAAATTGTCTACTCCGACTTACTCCGACTCCAACTCCAACTCCGACTCCGCAACCCTGCTTTAACCCGCGTCCGCAATGCTAGGGGCAGAATCCCGTTTTTCGCGAATAGCTTCTAAGCGCGTTAAGCCGCGACGTCAAACGTTCCGTACCTTATCATTAACCCGCGCACCGACGGGGGTCTGCGCCAACTTCGCACCGACGGGGGGGGGGGGGCGGATGACCGCCCCCCCTGAGATCTCGAGAACGAAGCAAGATAGCGACAAGCGGTAAACGGCATCGGATACGCACGGCCAAGATCTACAATTTTTACTAAGGTCATTTTCAGGTCAGGTCAAAGATGACGTCACAGGGGTCGAAAAAGTCAAAATGGCGGCGCTAGATATGGAGAGTTTTTCTCGAATAACTTTCGAATTAGTCAAGATAGGAACAAACTAAGGGCATCATCGTGATCCTCTCGTCAATCTGCATCGAATGATATATATGTTGACCTCGAAAGGTCAAGGTCAAAGGTTGACCTCAGGTCACGTGACCTCGAGGTCATCATGTATATCATTCGATGCGTCTTGACGAGCTGAACACAATGAGACCAACCACGCGTCTGTATCTCGTTCCTGTACGGAGTTATTGGCCAAAAACCTTTGGTGACCTTTGATGACGTCACATGACCTCACAGCTGCCCAACAGCAAAACAGACCTCAAGGTATAGTGATGGTTGATCGTATATGAAGTCATGTAAAGTATATGGGGCCATTCCGATCCGTTTTAGTGGTAAAAACAGGGATTTGATTTTTCCCCCATTGACTTATAATGGGGAGGTCGCGAAATTGACCTGACCTTGGGTCACCGATATCAAAATTCCGAGATATACAAATTGTAGCTACTAATGACCTTATAATATCCTGCGACTTTCAAAGGCCTCCGACATCTACTGTAGCTGTGGCACGGTGACAAAGTTGCAAAAAAGTGACTTGAGGTTGGGTCATTCAAAGTGACCTGGTGACCTGACCTTAAAAGGTAGGAAGTTCAAACTTGCACACCATGTGTAAAATTGATGAGGTTATAGTCATACCAAATTTCGCGGCGCTACGCGCCGCGGTTTTCCCGCTATTCGCGAAAAACCTCAGGGGGGGCGGATATTCGCCCCCCCGTCGGTGCGCGGGTAAATCATACATTGATTTACCATGTTCCCTGAAAATTCAAACAAAATCCGTCGGAAAATTTGCTGAGAAAATGACGTTTCAGTGACGCCATGTGACCTCATTTTCACTTCGTAAACTGCAAAATTTTAAACGTTCTAACATGTTCGGTTTTTAGGAATCAAGGCGTAACAAAACAAAAACAAAAACATGTACGTGATTCTACTATATCTATTAAGTTGCTATCTCGCTTAATGAAAATGTTTGGATTTTGACTTAATGTGTAAAAAAACAATTAGGTATTTAGGCAAATTCATGATAATGTCCAAACTTTTGTGAAAATCGAAGAGCGGAATAAAAGTTAGAGAAGGAATGTCTGTGCATCTACATTCCAATTTTTAGAAAATCGTTTAGAAAATGCAGGAATTATTCAAATTTTGATGACGTAACGACAAGCAATATTAAACAATGACAATTCTGAACTTCTAGACCTCGCACGGGAACAAAAATACTAAAACAGTACAATTCGATTTATCATGAAAAATTGCATCAGATATACACCTTTTTGGGTCTTAGCAATCATTTTGAAATTTGACTTCACTTATACCCGACCTTGACCTGACCTTGGACTGAAATTTATCCACATGTGTTTCCTATCACTAATTGTCTAATTGAGTATGCAAATTTAATTTTATGAATGAAATAACCCATAAAACATGTGTCGCACGCATGCTATTCTATATTTCATCTTTGTTGGCATGAACTGACCTTGACCTTGATCTTTTTATGACTCGGTATGCAAAGCATCTTGTCTCTGTAGCCTACGAACACGTTTTGGATAAGCAATCTCAGTCCGTTCTTCGCCAACCGCGCTCCAAAGCCGATAAGGTGGAAACTTGCAATTTTTACCCTTGACCTGACCTTGACCTGACCCCTAACCATCTTATTAAAAAGTTTCAAAGGTCAGTCTTTCTAAGAGCTTTCGATTACCGTTTTCCCCTGTCTTTATACGGCCATCGTTTCGGAAGTTTGACTCGGGGGGGGGGAGAATCTGCCCCGCTCCCATCAGCAGGAACATGTGGCTGAATAGCCCAGCGGGGCACGGGCTAAGGTGCTCAAAACAGTCACGATAATAATTTATCGGTAATCTGCACGTTCAGGTGATACTCAATTCCTAGAGATGGTGGTAGGGGAAGGTGCTCAAATAGCGCCATACTTAGCCTTATCATTTATCAACTAGGTATTACTTGTACTGGGAGGGGTGGAGAGCTGGTTCACGTCTTCTGATTCGTAATTTGATTAATTCTCTATAAAAAATGCCCAATGGTGTGAATGTTCTTGGACGCTTTGCGCTAGCCTACATATTTACTTCTCGTCCTGCTTAGCGCTTTTCTGGTGCATGGGAAGTGTTTCATTACGTCTCTTGGATGCGACCGTAATATGGCTTCTGTTGGACGCAGCAACAAGTGGCAAAGGGTTTCCCAGAACTCGTCGCAGATCGTTACAATACTTGTTAGAAGAATGTGCTGTTGTGGACATAAAATGCTGCGCCTTGTAACGATAACAAACATAGGCACCTACGATGTTAAAGGTAGTGTGCCAGCTTTCCTGGACCGTATGGAGTTAATGGCCCAGATAAGGAGAACCGGATTTTTAGAACTTATCCATACCTTCAAAACTCATGGAAACGTCTTAAATTCTTCAAATTTTGAGTACCCCAGTGCGAAATTCGCCCCGACGGGTTGTCGGTCGTACCCCAACCACATTTCACACCACTATGAACAATAAATGCACACACTGAAATCGCTATTACCGATAGGCTCATCCAATCAAGTTTCGATAAACCCGTTCATCATCATCTCCTGTGGTTTCGAACACGCCTGTTAGGTGGTGCGGTAGACCGCGCCCAAAGCCAGGGCCCCGGTAACGTGAGGTAGCCGAGTCGGGGCAGCGTGCGCTGACCCAAGCCGGGGCCGCGCGTCCTCCCGGTGTCATGTGATAGCCCGGGGCTGCCCGGGGATGCGGTAGACCGCGCCCAAAGCCGCGGCCCCGGCTTGGGTCAGCGCACGCTTGACGCTGCCCCGACTCGGCTACCTCACGTTACCGGGGCCCTGGCTTTGGGCGCGGCTTCTGCTCATACTTTGTGGTGCGGTGGTGGTGCGTCGGGCCGCGCGCTCTGACTTCGGCCAAGAAAAATGCGTCAGCTGATCATTGTCATTTCTGCCACTTTCATGTGGTGAGATGGGGTCATAACTTTAGAGACGGCTGTTTCATATCAATTATTTTTCATAAAATCATATTTCAAACCATAAATTAATGCTCGACAGCCAAATTAAAGAAACAATACCAATACAGGCTTACAGTTTAAATTCGACATAGTGTTGTCTACGATTAGACAGCTGATAACTCATTCCCGTACGTCGTAACTCTATAATGACCTTTGCTTATTGTCACATGTGCGCTGCATTCGCGATTGTTGCCGACGCGTTTGCAGGTCAGCCCACTACAGTTGTTATACATATCGAAAAACCGATAAACTTTTAGGCGAAAAAAACACTATTTTAGGCCCATTTTTGATTTTTTTTGCGATATTAGGTAAAAGCAGAACTCAAAGCTTCTTATCCTAGGAAAAATAAAATGGGAAATCATTGGAAGGTGGCACACTACCTTTAAGTTAATTAATTATGCTAATAAAGAGTTCGCTTATGACTTCATCCATTTCTCTCTTTCGATTCGTTCGCTCCTTTCAATATGCTGGTGTGAATGCAATGAAAGAGGCATAGGGAACTATTTATAGTTAGGACATCTGTATCGGAGATGCATAGAGAAAACTCCACCGGGGAAATCTCGAGCAGTGCGGTTTCTCCGTAAATACCGGAGGAAGATCTCGTACAGCTCCAAGGCTGCGGAGTGTGATCCGGTCCGGTGGGCTGGTCTGCAGGCGCGGTGCAGCCGCCGCCGGGGGTACCTGTGGGGCAGTGTCGGCCCGCACCACCTCTCCCGGCGTCCAATCTGGTCGGCTGGGCGCGGCTGGCCCGGGGCGCGACTGGGCAGCTCGCCACGCCGGCCCGCCGTCTCATCTCACCGGGAACGGCCGCCCGGCCACGAGCCCCGGCCGGCCGGCGGCACCTGGCCATGAACATCGAGCGGCGCCGGGGCCCGGCTGATCGGAGCGGAGCGGCGGCGCCCAGCCCCAGCCGTCGAGCCGGGCCGGCGGAGCGATGAGCGGCGCCGCACGCGCTGGGCTGCAGACCGACCTTGAGACGCCAGCCGCCGCTTCACGGAGCTCGCAGGCTGCCGCTGGGCTGCAGGCTCCGGCAGCTCCGTCAGAGTGACCTCCTTCTGAGACCTCCTTATGGAGAATGAACATTAGCGGAAATCAGGTTTGTGGTGGTTAGTTCCTGATGAAAAGCCTCCAGAAACAGTGAAGGAAGATGACCACAAGGCCATGCCAACCTTCATAGACTCATTCTCGCAGGTCGCTACAGAGCGTTCCGCGTTGCCAACCATTTGAAGAATAACGAGTTTGTCTTCAGAGGCGTAAGCTGAGTTTTATTTTTTTTTGTCCATCGAATGTCGGCTCAAAAAGCAAAATATTGCTTAATTTTCCAATGCCCTGGTAATACTAAAGTCAATAAGGAAGAAGAGGCATGGTACCCATCTGAGAAAAGCAACCTCCGATTGTCGACCGTAGAGTGCGTTTGCTTGTCTCACCGATAGCGGTACGGACCAGTTCGCCAATAGTCAATTGTTACCGGGGTTACACGAGCAAGTAAATGCGTATGAGGAACGGACCTTCCTGTTCGCTCAGCATTGCGATCCATTTGTAATAGGTACGCATTTATTCTCCTCATGTTTCCCCGGTCTGTGAGGTGTGTATGTCTGTGTGTGGGGGATGTCTGTGTGTTTGTTTGCTTGTTTGTTTGTTTGTTTGTTTGTTTGTTTGTTTGTTTGTTTGTTTGCGCCAGTGGTATTAGTCAGGACTAGCCGTCGATTGTCAACTGTGAGGTGCAGGCGTGTTTGTTTACAGCGATCGCCGTGAGGACCAGCCCGCTAGATACGCATGTCATCCGTAATTTTATGCATTACAAAGCGATGTGCTTGTTTCAGCGGTATCGGTGAGGACCAGCCCGCCGATTGTCGACTGTAAGGTGGCCCGCCAGCTGTGCCGAAGGAGCGCTGCATGTCAGTACATCACGTCCATCATCCCGCGCCTCTGTGGACCCGAACTGGGTGAGTCCCCTCCGCTCACTGAGACTATATAGACTGGACGTTATAACTGCTTTATGAGGGAGAGGGAGTGATCTTTCCTCCCTTTCTTCACCCACTTCTTCTCTCTTTTCTTCTTTTTTTTACCTTCATCCCTTTATCCCTCTTTTTAATTCCCCCTTTCTTATTCACTCTTTTTCACTCCAGTCCATTGTGGAATAGATAATTTCAAAGCAAAGCATTCAGCTTATCAGTGACATTTTAACTGCTAACAAAACAACCACTTTTTGTCGTTTGCATTTTTCGCCGTGCACTTTTTTGTCATTATTGAAAGAACGAAGCGTGTCGTTAATCATGACTGTATCGTTCTTTTTCTCTTTACTTCAGTGTCGTGCTCGACGGTGACGGTGACCAAGTGTCGGGCGGCTCTGCGGACGCTGGTGGCCTTCCAGTTCTTCCAGCCCACGTGTCTGTGCAAGGAGCAGCGCATCGACCCCGAGTGTAACACCTACCGCAACCTGGTGTTCGACCATCCCTGTCTGAGCGTCAGACACCTCGGTGAGGCGGCACACTAAAGACCCGCTTCCTAGACATCAGTCAATGGATTGGTCCCTACCAGTAAAATTCCGCTGCCGCTTAGGAGGTTTCATTATTTCGGCTATAACCTCTTAGTGATACAGATGGACATGTACGCTTGATCTGTTTTGATTACTCATGCTTAGAAAACTCTTATGTAAACATTTATAATGAACCGACATAAAACACCTATCTCGTAGCCGGAAGAAACCATGCAACTGTACGAATGTGCATGCTTCGGCAATGGCCGACAGACGCCCTAATAGCCATTCGTCCGTATGTTTCAGATAAGGACCCGTTTCCCACGCAGGCCCTGCCTACCTGTGAGTACGCTCTGAACGCGTGCCACCAGCAGCCCAGCTGCTCCAGAGTCTATCACGACTACCGGCGACTGTGTCCCTTCTCCGACGGCACGTGTCACATGAAAAACAGGTCAGCCGTCTGTACTTTGCTGATGGGATATAGGTAGGAATGCATAACGTGTTTTGTTCTGTAGGACACAAATGTTTACTCTCAATATGCTCTTGTGGTGCCGCGCTCAGTCAGACCTACACAGGACCGTTTGGCATCCCCTATGATTCCTGATAAGGTTTCAAATAAGAAGGTGCCTTTTACTTCTTCTCTATCTGGTCCACTAACTGATTAAAATAAGCGATGAAACGCCCAGTGTTTTGTGGAGCTCAAAAGCCCTGAAAGTCCGTTTAGTGTCGTACTCTGGCGTACTGTGACGCATCAAGGTAATTGCCATCGCTGCAATGCGTATGTTTTGTTCGGACTTCAGCTCTGCGTGCAGCGATGCCTGGATCGCGCTGAAGAAACGGAGCCCGTTATACGGATGTATTTGTACTGATTTTCGCGACTGGAACTGCGAGAGAGCGTTCAAAGCCGTTCATGAGAATCCTTGCATAGGTATGTTGCCGCTACCCGGCGGTGCATGTCGTCAATTGCAGTAGTGCAGTAATGTGCCAATCACATATTGCATGCTGTATTTTTCAATGTTCTGTTCTGTGCACTCTGAAACACTTGAACGGCAGTGACTATTAGGAATTTTAATGTAGGAATATCAAGGATGGTCTGAAGAAAGATCTATTTTCGAGGGTTTAAGGCAACGTTGACTGTTTTAGGCCTCATGTCCAGCATATTTGATATTCAGCGAGTACCTACTGTCTTGTTGCATTTTGTAATTACTTCAAAGAAGCTATTTCATTGCTACGGTGTATGCAATCCTAGAAATAGATAATAAAGATGATCAACTAAGTATGAAATTACACAGCACTGCAATGAATCCATACGCCTCCTTCCAGGTTCGAAAGCGCCATTCTAATTGCCTTGAGCACCAGCACCTTCTTCAGCACCAGCACCGGCACCAGCACCGGCACCAGCACCACCAGCACCAGCCTGATGGTGGTCTCGTGTGTCACCAATACCATCCTGCGCACCTGCAAGCGTAACAGCCTGCCGGCACGTGCACTCCTACTGCGGCATGCCGGCACCTGCACTCTACTATGGCACTCTACACTCTACTCAGCACCCCTGTCGCACCTCGTGGCATGCATCGCAAACCGGCCCTTGTCGTTCATTTGTAGTCAGCTTCCGAAGTGAGAGTGTGCGAGGCGCGAGCCGCCATATTTATGGAATTCCGTGCACTGCACTCGTAATCCCCAACACCTGGGTCGGGTACTCTGCTCATTTCTTCTCTCATCTCATCTCATCTCATCTCTCTCTCTCTCTCTCTCTCTCTCTCTCTCTCTCTCTCTCTCTCTCTCTCTCTCTCTCTCTCTCATCAATAGCATCCCTTGTCACCCCAGGGCGTAAATATTCCCATCCGTGTGGACGTTCACCTTCCCACGGAGCTCACGCTCGACATTTTACCAAGCACCACCCCGCTACCCCGCACGTCTTCCTCCCCATCTCCCTGCGCGCTACACCGCCGGTGTGACCTCACGGACTGCTGTTACAGTGAGCGGTCTAGGAGGAGCCGAGGTCTCCCGACCACTGGCTGACCAGCAGTTGGTGGCTCCTCTGTTCAACCTGACGTCTGAACGACCCTGGTCATCAAGTATTGAGAGGACGCTCTACGGGCCTGAGATGGACAGTATGAATAATAAGTCTGAGGAGAGCGCCGTCAAAGAAAAGCAAAAAACTACTGGTAAGATAGCTAGGCTAGGACTGTTAACATTTTTACCGATAATAAACTCCTGCGCCACTGCAGCCGGCAATATGCAACGTTTCCTTGATGCATGTCAAGGAGATTCAAAGTAAAGGCCATTATGCTTTTTATATGTCTCATATCTTTAGCCCCTTTTGTAATCCTTAGCCCGTTTTCTCTTTTCTCCCTTTGTTGCACTTCTCAGAACCTAACTATGGTTCACGATTCATTGAAGGTCGGACTTGTGCATAAGTTTAGGTATGACTTTTTCATTACGTGAGATTTAGCTTTCATTACGTAATATTGTTAACTCCCACCTATGTACACGAGCACTTCTGGTATGTGTATCATTAAATAAACATACAAAAACTGATCCGGTGTTTCTGACAGCTGCCCTGCTCCCTTTGCTTCAGCCAAGCTTCCATCCGCCAACCCAGCCGGTTCGGTCGACGTGGAGTCGGCCGGTCCCGTGCTGCAGTCGTCCTGTCACACGGCGCTGGCCAACTGTCGTCGGGACCGCCGCTGCCGCCTCCTGCTGGAGCCCATGTTGAACAGCTGCGTGGCCGACTCGTGCCACCGCCAGCAGTGTATGAAGCACATGCAGGAGTTCTATGACCAGTCAGACAGCGTGCTCGTCATGGACGCCGCACTCTGCGTCTGCCGGTGAGATTGAGGTAATTCAGCTGTTGCGTTTATTGCTTTACCAGCAAATTGAAAATTATTTCGAGCCTTTCCGTGAAATGCATGCGCTTCGCGTAGCGCAAAGTCGAGAAGTGAATTGGCAATGCAATGCGAAAAGAACGCTTATCTTATACTAACATCTGTTACAACAACAGTGAATACTAGTGCATTATTGGACAGAAAATTATTATCCTGAAAGTGCTGTGCTCGTATTTGGCATTTGCAGCCGGAGCGACGCGGGCGAGTCGGGCTGCGTGGCGGCCATGCAGCGGCTGCACCCGGCGTGCGCCAGCCAGCCGGAGGGCGGCCGGCTGCCGTCGTGTCTGCGGGTGGCGCGCCACTGCCGCCGCCAGTGGGATGGCCGCTGCCGGCCGCGGCTCGAGCGCTACGAGCAGGCGTGTGCCGTGGACGTGGTGACGGCCCGCTGCGCCGGCCCCAGCGAGCACTGCCGGAGCGCGCTTCTGGCCGTGCTCGGTACCGAGCTGCACAGCCACTGCGGCTGTCACGACGCGCCGGCGGCCGGCTCCACGCCCGGCCAGCACAGCTGCCACGACTGGGAGCGCCTTCTCTGGGCTAACCCCTGTGTTGGTACGTGGACTGTGGGGAGACGCCTGTTTTTTTTTTTTACATACAAATGTGAGCAATCTCATGTATTGGCATTATTGCTAAAGGTAGACCAATACGTAAACCTCTGGGCTCTGAGCTGGGCTACCGCCAGAGCTATCGAGCGGCCGCCCCGGCACCTGTCTCTGCTTTCCGGCTCAGTCACTGGAAGTTATACTGTCCCGCCGGACGTGCCTGTGTGGCGGCACAGTCTACCAGGCCAGTCGTTTTACCGCCGCGACGGCCGCAACCGTATTGGTGGAAGGTCCGCAGCGGAAACGAGCTAACTCGGGCTTCATCGCGTTTTCAGCTGGCTAGAGCTGTGTTCCAACAATTTTTTGCTTTGACCGCATGCTTCCTGTTGGCTTTTATGTTTGAATTTGAAGTCAAAATTTCCCTAGCAACTCCACCTTTTCCTTCTGTTGATTTTTGCTTGTTTTCGGTATTCTTTTGTTTCTTCAGAACTGAACTTTGTAACTTCTGTATAGTTACGAAATTGATAACAAAGTGGGCGAAACTTACTTCATGCGGAAAGCATGTTTTCACATAGTTGCAGTACTCTCCATTTCCGATTCCCATGCCCCAAGGAAAGATGTTACAAATTTTGTGCATGTCTGAGCACCACAAATGTTATCTAACATCTCCCCGGGTGATCTGTCCCAACAGAATTATCTCAGCGGGAGTACCTTCTGCGCCAGCCGAGCGGCAGTCCCCTGCACGGCCCTCCGGCGCCAGTTCAGCCACCCTCCAGCAGCCGGCGGAGGCAGGCAGCGCTCCCAGACAGTCAGAGACTAGTTACGGACTCTGCCGCCGGTGACGCCACCATCGTCCCCAGCCATCCCCACTGCGTGGTCAGAAAACCAGGACGACCCGACGACTTTATCCTCGTAGGAGCAGGAGTGCGGGTAAGGAGAGTTGAAATCGTTTGTGATCCGTAATGTCAGCTGTATTGGCTACTACACCAACGTCATTATATTTAGTTTTTGGTTCGAGCATGCTCATTTCGTCAGATTCGTAGAGTTTTGAGAGGACATTTATTATCCAACATCATCAATGATGTGTGTCTTCTGGTGGCAGTATTACCGTTTGAAGGGAAGCTCAGACCCGTACCGGGAGGAGAAGGACTGCTCTGAGCTGTGTATGTGCCACGGCCGCGGCCGGCTCGTCTGTAACGTGCTCGACTGTCTGGAGAAGCGCGAGTGTCAGTCGTCGCTGGCGCTGTACTACCACGGCACGGCCGGACTGGTATCCTACCAAGAGGGATGCGTCTGCCACCACGGAGACTTCATCTGCGCCAGACCTGCAGACGGTGCGTTGTCACAATTAGGATCGACATTTTATGCATTTTCCTGTGGCCTCAACTAAATTGATCGAAGTTAACCCTCGCCGGACCTGTTGGTTTTCTACATACGCGCCGGCCGAGGGGGGGGCGGGTACGACCCCCCCCCCCCCTCGCCGTTTCGCCCCTGGTATAGCTAGCGCGTCGCGGAAAAACGAGCGTGTGCGCCGTTACGAGACGCAGAGATTGGTACCCGATTTTAAGGTCCTAGGTCAACCGGTGACCTCTGAGGTCAGGTCAAGTGCCCCAAGGTATGGTTCAGTTTTTGGTGAATAACTTCGCAAAAAACGGCCCCAGAGCGCCGATTTTGGCAGCCTCGTGTTTGCCTCACTCAGGCGCGTCGAATGATATACTTTTTGTCCGGGTCAGGTCAATTTGGGGTGTTGACCTCAGGTCAAGGTCAGGTCAGCACCCCCAGGTCACGAAGTTGGTCGAAAGAGGTCATGTTGCATATCATTCGATTCGGCAGGCCTTCCTGAGTCCATTGGTGGCTTTCCCGACTCGCTAGCTCAATTTGATCAAGAGTGATTGACGAAAAACTAATATGACCTTGATGACGTCATAAATGACGTCACGAAAGGTCAACATTGCAAAAGTGACGCATCTAACCTTGCAAGGAGTGCATCAAATCACGATTCTGTATGCTTGAGATAGTTGGAGATCGTTCCCGGCGCCAGAATAGCAGTTTTCATTTTCCCCATTGACTTATAATGGTGAGGTCACGAAAATGACCTGACCTCATATGACCTTTAGGAAAAATCCGAGATATGCAAGCTGTGGGAATCATAATGGATACTAGATCCTGCAAGTTTCATTTCCCTGTGACATCTCCTCTGGCAGTGAGGGCGTTGCGAAGTTGCGACATCTGAAGACCGTGCAGAGGTTCACTTGTGACGTCATAGGTCAGTGACCTGACCTGACCCAAAAATGCGGTTGGTGTCAAAAGATCCGGCTTGGATCAAAGGTCAGGTATGCCAAGTTTCAGCTCTCTATCGCCAGCGTGTTCGGAGCTATCGCGAAAAAACCCTATTGGGGGGGCGGCACCCCCCTCGGTCGGCGAGGGTTAATGGTTTTCAGACCCCTTCGACAAGACACGAAGCCTAGCCCGGCACCGCCTGGGCTATTTCCATACCCACGACAGCCGGGGGGGGGGGGGGGTCGGATCCGATCCCCCCTGTTATCTCGAGAACCAATGGTCGTATCGAGCCCCGCGAGGCGGCGTTCGAAAGGTCCCTACGAGACCTTCCCAAAGCACTCTTAATATTTTAAGAGTGAGGTCAACTTTCGGGTCAAGGTCAGGTCAAAGGTCAAATTCTGGGGTTTTGCATGATTAGGCTTACGGACAGCGGAATCGATAGCTGCTGCTCGAAACTCAACAAAAATGACCTCAAAGACCTATTGAAGGTACCATGTGCGTATAGGGGTCATACTAAGGACGGGTTAAAGTCAGGTCCGGTCACGAAAGGTCACGGTTTTCACTTTCTGCTACATGGGCTTGCGACACATTTTTTATGGCTTATTTTTCACGCCGAATCCGATGGTAATGGTTATATGTGACCCCAAGTCAATGTGCTGGTGATAAGTTTGCATTGAAAGCATAACAAAATCGCTGATACCATACATAACTAAACGAGGGCTAAGAAAAAGTCAATTTTCAACTTTTTATTTTTGACATAAAAATGCAATTTTCTAGACGATCTTTGTCCCAGAAATCTAGTGGTGCCCTTTGTTTTTACATGCAATGTTCAGAAGTGCCTCTAATTCACGAAAATGCTCATGACGTCACCATGCCGTATGCATGTTGGAGCTGTTTTTTACAATTTGGGGGTCAAAAGTCAAGATAGAAAGTTGAAATTTGGGACATCTAATGTTCTAATAGAGCTCTATATCATGTATTCCGTTTTTTTTTTTGCAAATTCCCAAAATTTTGGATTTATTAGCTGTTTTCCTAAAAATATAGTTTTTTGAATTTTTAGGGGTGAAAAACGCATTTAATGGTAAATCCGAGACAGACATTTTACAGGACTCATTGAGCTGCGTCTAATCATGTCCCTAATTTGCAATTTGCTTTAAACCTCGATTTTTGGCGATGTTTTAAACATTTACCACTTTTTGACTGGCACTTTTGACCCAGGCGGTCGCGGGCTATAATCATTTACGAGGAGACTCTTTAGCCAGCCATTTGCAGACGCCGTGCCCTTGTGAACACCTTTTCATCGTTATTGTTTCAAAATTTAATTTTATCATCTTACGCGTAAATTCACAAAGCAGATGACATGCTTTGTCTTTTTCAGATGACTATTCGCTTCCCTTTGGTGTGTTCCTGTTCTTGGGGTACAGTCGGGCCGAACAAGACATGCTTTATCCACACACCCACAAGACTATTAGACAGTATGTCGTCGAAGAGTTGAAGAACATTCTCGACGTTGTCCTCAAGAGACAGGACTTGGGTGCTCAGGTAAAGCTCATTATTTTTGTATAGCATTTTGATTTAGAAACATGAAGAATGCCGATAGAAATATGAGACTGAAAGGTGCAAACGCATGTGTATCTATAGGTTTGCTGGTTCCATGGCTTTGGCAGATTACATAACAGCAGCAAACAGAGCCAGATATGCTATATGATTTGAATACTTTTAATTTTAACTACTGTTGTTTCAGGATTGGCAGTGCACTCTTTCGGTTCATGAACATTTCGAGTCAACCAATAATATCATCATTCAAGCGAGACTTCGGCCTGAACAGAAGTTACACAATCGGGCTGTCAACCAGGAAATTCTGCGCAGAGAAAAGGTTTGTATGCATTGTATGCAGGTATTGCAGATTGCTTTCATAGGTAACTACGAAAGCAGCTACATACCTAGTTACTTGCAGGAAAGTCCTTGCTACTGGTCATTCGAATGCAAACAGACGAACATGGCAACTATACTCGTATTGAAACATTGTAGAACCGCTCAGAGTGATATGTTATTTATAACTATTCAATCTTGACCATTTTAAATTTCAGTACTTAAAACGGATCTTGACTTTGATAACTTTATCTGTTAAAACAGTTCGGATTACTCATGACATTTATCTTCATATTAAACATATTTTTGGGCAGTTCGCGATGATGCATTTTTGACGTTTTTCTGCATTTTCAGTCGGAGTGCTCAGGCCCGTTGCAGGAGGTCAGTCGGATGATAAATCACAGAGAGCCGGCCGTTCTGTCGCACCCACTGCTATCTGTGGTCAAAACGTCGGACGTGGAGGTAACCATTCCTGATCTGTCCGGTGGCCGGGCCCGCTGCTATCCGTCCGTCGTCCTACCTGCATTCTCTCTACTGCTGCTGCTGCTACTTGGTCACCGTTCGACGCCGACGTGACGTCACCTCCAGGTGTGATGACGACACACAATCGGGGATTACGTCACACGCAGCTGGTCGGGCTGTGAGAGGTGAATAGGCTCACGCCGGACTCACAGTGAGATACGGTTTTGGTAAAGTGGTGTCAAGGTGGGACTGCCGGTCAGACTTTTCTTACTTGGTCAAAGTTGATGTGTGTGGATTGTGTTAATAAAACTGGACACTTGCATGTAGGTAAGTATTGATAAGGAAACCGGTGACGAGATGCATATTTTAATCCGTAACCGTAAAACCGACGGTTAAAATAGTGTATCTCGAGACTGTATTTTCGTGAGAGCTGTGTCGTATAGTATGTAAATATTGTCATCCCTGTGAAACAAGAGACATCAAACTAGCGAAAATTATGCGATGCCTTGCAGTGCCGATGTGAGGCACGGCCTGAGATTAGTAACGATTTGACAAAGTGGATACTGCATAAGGCATCCATACAGACTGCAGAGGTTGTGCTAAAAATCAGGCTTTGAAAACATCAGCTCAAGAGCGACATATCATATCGGAAGGTGTCTATTTTGCTGACTGTGAGTCACAGTTAGAAACATTGCGATGTGCTTGAGGGCTTGTCTGGCGTCCGCTGCCTGCTAGAGTTTGTTGTACATTATTTTGGAAGGTTGTTTGTATTCTTCATTGTACAAAGTAAATAGATGTAACAAGTTTTCTTTGTGCTCATAGTACAACACATGAACTACCTATCTGCATTCTGCACAATACATATAGGAAATGTTTCTTTACTGCTTTTGCTGACTCATGACTGACTACGTTACTTGTTTGCGAGTTGTTTTGGGAATAAGATATATTAAAGCTGTTGTCTCAAATATCTCACTAAGTAAATGTATGACAATGATGTGAGCATGTTATAAATAAAAAACTCGGATTGCGAGTGCCGAGTAGCTCGTATTTTTTTTTCATTTGATAGCGGATATAGATCAAGTGATACAGGAAAGGGAATAGTTTCACTTTATCGAAATTAGTTTTTTTGCGATGAATTTATGTTTTTTATGCTCAAAATGATCAGCAAAGAAAATAAAATATGTTTTATAAGAAATATTTCCTATATTTTAACCCGCGCCCTGATGGGGGGCTATTTTGGCCCCCTTGTGGTTTTTCTTAAATAGCGAGAACACGGCGGCGTGCAGGGCCGCCAAATTCTGGGTTCCTTACCAGGCATCAATTTGACACCTTCACACAAAATTTCAAGTCACAAGTCATTTCGGGTCAGGAGTTATTGAGGTCAAACTGAGGTCATGTTCGAGTAAAAATGAGCAAAAAACATGACATCTTGAGACGCTCACCAATTCTACAGTTAACAAGCAATTTTAAAGTTCTTTATGTGGTTGTGTAGAGGAAAGACGGCGCTACAAAACTGCTATCTCGGATTTTCGAAATTTTGGGATTTTAACCCCCCAAAATAAAAAAAAAAGATTTTTTATGCTAAAAAAATTTCCAATTTTTTCGAATTTTGAAAAACCGGAATATATGTGATAGTACCTGCGCTCTTCGATATACATACAAAATTTTAGATCGATACCTCTTTTTTGACCAAGTTATAGTGAAAAATGAACTCAGTTTTTAGCAATTCTAGACCACGAAGCGCAAAACGGAGACCACCAGTGAACTCCCCGTGACGAGCTGCATCGAATCGATACCCGTTTTATGCAAAAATATCAACTTTGAAATTTGACCTAATTTGACCTGACCTTGACCTGATCTTCACCAAAACATAATCTCAACTGACCCCAAGGGCTGCCTGTCCCACATGATCGCATTTGGCATATAAAATGGACCATAAAACATGCATCACATGATATTTTTGATTTGTGACCCTCAGTGACCTGACCTCTGTGACCTGACCTGGTATCAGTGACCTCAAATAGCAAAATCTGTGTTTGACGAACATTTCCCCATCGATGATTTTCAATGAAATGCATTTTACTCGATTTTACAAGCATTTCTTGAAATGCCTGTAAGTGTAGACGGTGAAAATTCGACCTTTGACCTGGCCTGTGACGTCATCGGTTTGACTAAGGTCAATGAAATTGGGTCACAAGGTAGTTCCCCGTTGGAGCTATCGAGCACCGTTTGCCGCTTGTCGCTATGCTGCGCGGTTCTCGAGATCTTAGGGGGGGGGGGGGCAAAATGCCCCCTCCCCATCAGACCGCGTTGCTCGGCAGACCCCATCAGGGCGCGGGTTAATTAATATAGGAACAACTATATCATATATAAATTATTGTTTGACGTGGAAGCTTATTACGCGTTGACCAATCATTTTGCGTAGTTCAAACCCATTGGCTGAAAGCAGCATGCTGATTGGGTTGAGGCTGAGGTGGCTGCATTCTGGGTGTGTCTTCAGCAAGGCACACTTTCCTCAGCAAGGGACTTTTTCGGGACGAGAAATGGAATATCTTTGCTTAGGGTGGTTGTTGGGCCGTAAAAGCTCCTGATTTGTACTTGTCTCAGCTCAAGCTACGGAACTGGCATTCCAGTTCAAACCCCCATGTTAAAAGTGTATTATTTCCTTCAAATAACAGCACAGGATATCGTTTCAGTTGAGAACTTTTGCGTCGGTCACACATTGTCAAAAATAAACTACATAGGTGTACGATCTGTACGATGTGTATGAACCTCTGAAAACGAGCGAAAGATAAATTAGCATTGACCAATCAAGACACACTTACACTCAAAATACTTGTCACAATATACTGAGCAAATGATGTAAAAAAGCCAACAGCTGTTTTATGTGTTCCAATCACTAGTTGTGGTGCAATTGCTGCGCTTTAATATTAGTTTGCCAGAAATATGACGAGCTCACACACACATTGAGCTTTTTGTGAGAAGCCAAGCGCCGTCTAATGTCATCCAATCAATCAAGTACTGGCTTTTGCGCTGCTGCCGCTAGCAAAGGAAGATGTGTCTTGCAGTGGATATCGTTATAGATAGGTGTAGGCGCTATGGCACGCTGTTATTTGTCGTCCATAAACTGGCGCAAACCTATCATGGTAAATGTTGGGTACTGGTACTGGGCGCTTTCCACAATGTTTGACGTTAATGCCATTTTATGGACGCTGTGGAAGCTTTTCGGTACTGCTGTTACAATGAAACACAAATTTGTCTGCAGCGTCTGTTGAAAGCCATAATCGCATGCTACATTGGTAGGTAGCTGTATTAACACATCGGACACAATAAATAGTCTGAACTATCTAACCAGAACAGATCTAATAGAAGATTGTCATCGCTGATATGTTTACTTTTGACGATACAGATTGAACAACTGATTACCAGTCATGATATGTCGTTAAGGTCGCCTGTAACCTTAGGAATTATGGGATACCATCACCTAGCGATAACATGTAAGTAAACACCATGCACTAAGCGATTTAACATAAAGGTAATTAAAGTTGATAAAGTTAGCGACCTTGGTAGTATTTTTCTACATATAGTGCCTTTTTGTAGATTAAAACTAAAGATAATTAAAATATACACGAATGATTATTGATTATTGTAAAAGAATATAATTACTATGCATACAGACAAAACTAACTAGAAAAAGGTTTCGAGAAACAAACTGGCATTGCCACAACCATAGATAACATGAATCATAGATAACATGAATCATAGATAACATAGATTCATGTTATCTATGCCACAACGTAAATCATTAGTACCGCTGTTATCAGTGCATTTTCTTTCTACTTGTGTGAATACGGCATCTTTCTGTCATAACACTAGGCTAGCGACTCGCTCGCGCGATATTGAGAAAGCGGATGGTTTAACCTGCCAGCTATAACAGCAGTCGCGGGATATAGACAGTATTTCGCCCATAAAACTCAAGTCAGATCTAAGCTGCGAGAGCGTACCTTACATAGACATGTAACACATGCTGCTAAGTAATCATAACACTTAACAAGCCTGACGCTGATGCACAACAGTCCACGGAACTGACACGCTTTAAGCATTAACAACACTCGTCAGCTCAAAACACATCGAATGGCGCTTCTCACTCTCGCAGACGAGCTGTTCAGAGTGTTGCAGAGGACATAGTGTGTGTTCGGGCATCCGGATGTGTGGAGAAGGTGGTGGCATGGCTGTCTCAGTGTAGACGGTAGACAGTAGAGAGGAGTATAACAAGGGAATCTGGGTTAAGAGAAGGACATAGCACGGTTGCCTGGGTGCAAGAAAAGTGCAACATGGCTACCTGGGTGTAAAGAGGGTCAAAATATGACCTTACGAAGATATATGTTGAAAAGGCCAGCAGGTCACCGAGGGCCATGAGTGTCTGCAGCAAATAATTGAACGATAAAACGGAATGATGCAACCAGCGAAGCAGGATCATTCGGTATAGCTCTTCTTCCTTCGACCCCAGGAACCTCAGACAGGAGCAGACGGGCCTAGCTCTCAACACCACACAATGTGCAGCTGATGACACATCACACCCCTTAAACGCCTATACAACGTCTCACATCACACACTCCAAACTATCTGATTCTCCACTGATAGCCACACATCGTTCGACCGCACGCCACTTTACAACGTCGCCGGCTGCCTAGTCGGGACGCCTCGCACTTGTATTGCTTATCGCTGCCACTGCAGTCCAGCTTCGCAGGGGTGCTGCCAGATCTGGCCCTCCCGGCTTTGCGCAGTGCTGCCAGATCCCCGACCCCCGCGAGTCGCTGCTTCACGGTCAGTGCTTACGGTAACACTGGCTGCTCAGCATCGAGTTCTGTATCTAAACAATTCACAGCCAGCTGTGGCCATCAGCCTCAAAATAGAAGCGACCAATATTGTCACAAAAATCTTCAGGGCTCTGCCACTTCCTGGTATTGTACCTATAATCAAAACACTATGCTACTGCATTTCCCAGGAATGCCGAGAAGCCCGTTATGCAGCCGATTTACTGTTTCTCGATCGGCGATTGTAGCTACACTAGACTTCATTCACTCGCATAACCATCCAGCTCGGCACCAAGGTTGAGCCACAACAGGTCCGGCCGTCGGCCACTCTCTGCCTTGATGATGTCACGCTGGGGGTCCCATAGCCAGCAGTGTGGCCAATAGCAGCAGGACAGTAGCTGACTGAGGCGACGGCCCCGCTGCTGACGTGTCGGGCGTGGTGACATCCACGTCGGCCATCTTGAAGACGGAAAGAAGAGGATGCGACACAATGGAACGCTCGCGATTGTTGATCATGTAACTGATGTCCCTCAGGGGACCGGTGCACTTGTCCTGGAACGATGCATGGTTATCATTAGAAATTATAGTACATTTTTGCCACCGACGAATGTTAAAAAAGTTCAGTTAAATTTTTGTATAAAGGTGGCCTGCTGAAAGCCAGAAGCGCGAGAGACGGTTAATTTCAGTCGACGGCAAAACTCGGAAATGCCTATCAAAACCCATGCATAAAAACACGGCGGTTAATTTCATTATACGGCAGTTTTCTTCTCTTCAAAAGCTCCCTGTTGAACAATGCGCTCGATGACTGAAACCTCAATAAAAATCCGGTCATGGAAGCTTGTAGCTTGGAATAAAGTAAATTGCGAAACAGGTGGACAAGTGAATATTGGCAAGAACACAGCCTTAATTAATGTGATGACTTATCGTATTTATTTCAAAGAGATGAATTAGCAGGCTACGCATAAATTTAGAAGGCAGATTTCGAGGCACATATAGTTCTCAAGAGCCAGTGAAAAGAGCCATTGAAGCTGACCCTTACAAAATGGGAAGAACAGCACTGCCAGGAGCAGTGTTCGTAGTAAGATCGACGCTTGTTCTACCTTTATGGATATTGGATGTCAAAATATAGGAAAGAGGAGAGAACGCAACGACATTTTCCCACTAATGAAGACAAAGCATGTCTCCGCAACGCCTACTCCACACTCGCAATTACTTCGTAGCATGAATGTCTAATAAAAGTAACAGACGCGTCTCGCATGTTTACCAGGAAATATCTGAGAAATCGGGGATGAATTTCAAGCAAAATATGACGTGGTAGGTGATGTACAATTTGTATAGGTATAGTGAGACCAAGTGGTAGGTTAATTTTATTATTCGCCCATCGTGTGTTAAAGGCAATTGGCAATAATTTTTATTATACGCCCAAAGCTTTACCCATTTGCTGCCCCCTCTCCCTCCTATCTTCCGTGCCCCTCCTTGATGTCGAAGCCCAAAAGCGAACTCTTTCTCAGAGATGCGTTGGTGCACGGTGCCAAAAATTTACTATAATAAATTTAATTGCCCGGTCCCAATACTTTACCAGCCATGATACGGTCGCTTTTCCTCAAGGGTGTTTTCATTGAATATGCTCGCAGGCTCGCACATTCAATGCGAAAATTGCACTCATTTCATTCGTGCAATTTTCGAAAATAGCATCCTCACTCCGTTCGGACGCTATTTTCGATAAAATAATGTCCTCACTTCGTTCGGACATTATTTTAAAACACCCTTGGGAAAGCGACCGAATAATGTCTGGTATAGTGTTCGGACCGGGCAGTTAAATATATATTATATACTCGCCAAAGGAGCAGGTTTCAGGTTGTGCCTCTCTTCCAATGAGTTTCTTGCATATGTGGCAATCAATTCGTAACACTGGTATTTTTCACATAACCGTGAATGGCTCTGGGGACGTTAAATGCAAGCGCTAATTTAGCGTTTCTCAGTAAAACAGAAGCCTTTCTCATTAAAACCACACAACTACGTATGTTTTAAGTTGAAACAAAATTAAGATAGGATTATATCTCATATTACCTTTTCCCTCTTCAAGAGGTCATGGCTGAGACTCTGATTATACATTTTCTCGACCTCCTCCAGTTTCGCCTGAACTATGAGGTTCTCTGTCGACTCGAAGCGCTGGTGAATGGACAGCTTACACGGCCACTCCTGGTGGACGAAACCAGAAGCATGCCTCAGTCACTGCAGATGACGGCACTCGGGGGTGGTAACCACTAGCGACTACCAGCCACCACCTCAAGACAAGGCAGGGTTTACCGCCACAATGTGAAATGACAGAGGTTGATTGGATGTGGGCTATTTACCAAACCATCATAGCGCATATGCTGTCGAAAGAAATATACCAAAAGAAAAAAGCATTACAGATTGCATCGATACCCGTATAAGAAACACTGAGTTGTGTTTAAACTGAGGAAGTCACATTACTTCGCAGTTGATTTAGGCTCGCAGATAAGGCCGGAGTTGCACGTAATCCAGTACTCCTTCAAAGGACACTTACCTGGAAGTCTCTGCCCATCTCTCGCATGGTGTTCAAAAGGAGCATCTTCAGTTCTGTGATGGTGTGGTCTTTGACCGTTTTATGCGTGTACGGGTGCAGAATCTCCTCCTCTTTTCTGCTGTAGCCCAAAAAGAGGAACACTCCGAAAGGCAGAGTGTACTCATCTGGAAAATAGCAAACGAACGTCACGGTCGGGTCCACTAAGGTCGGCAATCAGCCTTCAGGCTAGCACTCAGTTACATATTCAATGCAGCCGTGAGGTCAGGACCGGGATATCATTAAAGACTACAGAGCGTATTAAAGAGCACATTTCTCAGGCGTCTGCGGTCGTACTCGGCTACCTACCTGCGGGCGGTCTCATGCAGATAAAGTCCCCATGGTGGCAGACGCATCCCTCTCGGTAGGGCACCAGGCCGGCCGTGCCGTGGTGGTACAGCGCCAGTGACGACTGACACTCGCGCTTCTCCAGACAGTCGAGCACGTTACAGACGAGCCGGCCGCGGCCGTGGCACATGCACAGCTCCGAGCAGTCCTCCTCGTCCCGGTACGGGTCGTCCGGGTCGTCTTCCAGACGGTTATACTGCCGACAAAGCACGGTGCGCAAAACACACAGATGAGTCAGAAAACAATTAACACTAAATAACTTACATATTACTCGTAGTTTAGTGAGCTGAAAATATGTTGCGACCAAGGCCATCTATAGAAGGTACAGTCACTCCCCCGCCGACCAATCAGAGACAGATCCTGAGTGACGTCACCCCTGATGCTCGAAAGGGGTACTCCATTCCTTTACAACGTAAAAATGACTAACTTCATTTGAAGATTGTTGGTGACACTCTACACATATCGCTCAACCATTGATGTCATTGGAAAGTCCAACTAATTTTTTAGCGATAAAAAAGAGCAGTAATATGCTAAGAAATGGCCTGTTTTGAAGATATAGACGATTTAAAAACCCTCTGCAGTTGCAGGAAAGCAACGTAAAAACGCATCGAGCTTATATTTTTACTATGAATAAATCATTTTTCAGTAAGTTTTTAGATATGGTATCGATTTATACAACAACTTTATTACAATATTTTTATTACTTGGAACTTTATTTCAAAATAATATTTTCAAAAATGGCAACTGTTGGCAAGTAGCTTTGAAGCGATTGTGGCGCGCCGCGCCATTATTGTCCTGAGGCCCCCATATGATGTCATCAAAAGTGGAGTGACATGGGCCTGGTTGCGACCTAATAAACTACGTAGTTACCGCTGAAGTTCGGAAGTAACTTTCCTCTTCCTCAACAGCCCAATGACACAAGATCTTTACTCACTTTTTTACATATTAACTCGGATAGCCTCTCACCCTCTCCCCGGACCTCTCCTCACCCCTCAGGCACCAGACAGACTCTCACCCTGATTCCGGAGCCGACCGGTATCCTCTCCAGTGGCCTGCCCTCCCGGCGGGAGACGCAGTGCGCCGGCAGCGGCGGCTGTGCGGCACTCGTGGGGCGAGGTGGACGGACCGGCGGCGGCGCGGCGCCCCTCACCACCCCCGGCCAGCGCGGCGCCGTCGTGGTACTGGTGGTGGTAGCACTGGTGGTTGACGTGGTTGCAGCAGTGGTGGTGGTAGTGGTGGTTGCTGCGGTGGCCGGTGTGGTAGTGGTTGTGGTGGTGGTGGTTGTGATGATGGTGACGTCTGACACTCGACGAGCGGGGTTCTGCGACGGCGACTCGGCCGGTGAGCCGCCTGGGCTGACCGTCTCTCCGTACTCCTTGAGTATGGGCTCCAGAAGGACAGAGCGCTGACGGTGGAACTCTCGCTGCGCCTCCACTGTCGGCCCAGCGATGACGTGGTTAGATATAGGTACAGTCCACAGCAGAAGTAATGTGCGGTTTCAGTCATGGGTATGTTCTGCCTCTGAAGTTTAGGAACGATTAACCAGACTACAATGAAACTTTGAATGTAACTTATATGTATCGTCACCCTTGCAGCTGCAACTTAAGCTATTGACATCTTCTTTTCGATCACTCCGCATTAAATAATCGCCAGTCAAAGCCAACCGTTGAGATTGGTAAGACCCTACATTACTTTAGCGGTGGGCTGTACGGCAAAACACGGAAACAGCAGCGGGGAGACACACATCAAACGCATGGGTGAAACTTTGACATCACCATTGGGGTCCCAAACGTCCAAGGGGGCCTCCATTTAGTGGGGGCCTCCAAGCAATTAGGGGCCTCCAATTGCGGAAGCGGTAATTTACGAACCACGCCAGGGCACCCTCTAAGAAATTTTCATTGGGGGACCAGAGGCTCAGAAGCCAAACCTGGGGTACCCCCAAATCCAGTTTTCTCATCGGATTTAGGCCACTTATTTTTCGTCACAGCTCTGATGCCATGATTTTTTTTAATATTGATAAAGAAATGGTAGGTCACCTGACCCTACTGGTGGATCCAGGCCAGCAGAGTGACATTGTATGTAAATATCCCCCGCGGCATCCGAAATCGACGAAAATTTCTGGCTTTTTCACTTTTGACAATAAAACACAATGCCTTTATTATAGAAAAAAAATTAACGGCACAGCATTGCGCAACGAATCTAGCCGTAAGCCGACCCCAGAAAGTGTGAGGGTTAACCTTCGCCCGCACCTGGGGGAGGGTCGCCACCCCAAGTTAGTTTTCCTGCTCTACACTTAACATTTTTAACCCGGCAGTTGCTGGGGTATTCCGCCACCCACCGTTTGCTGGGGGGGGGGCGTTAAACGCCCCCAGCCGATAACTCGAGAACCGATAGGCGCAGCGAAACGCACGAGGCGGCAAACGAAAGAACGCGACGAGACGCTTCAGATGAGTACTTTAAAGTTGAATTTTGAGGTCACAGGTCGGGTCAAGGTCAGGTCAAACACCTGAAATCGGGCTTTCAGTAGCATGGACTTCAGGACTTCGCAATGGGCGCCTCTCGTCATAAACTCTGTCAAAACGGTGCACAATCCATCATATAAGGCCTACAAGAGTGTCAGCTCCATGTAGGGGTCAGTCAAGCATAGGTCAGGGTCAAGGTCAGGTCAACCGGGTAAGCACATATCCCCGAAAATCGAAACTGATATTCTCAGCCTGTGGCACATGTTTTATGGGTAATTTGGGGCGTAGAACACCATGGTGACATTCATTTTATCATATGTGTACGTGTTTGGCTCAAAAAGTTCAATTTAAGAAATGCATGTATCATGGTCGTGAAGTAGTCACGAGAAATTGCCAAGGTTCAGTTCAAGATTTTGGAAAATGCGGAACGATAATCAATAATCGAAGATAGCCATTTGATTGTTCATGGTATTGGCAGTCTAATGGCTTTTACGGCATGTCTGTATGTCTATTCTGTGATTTTATATGATTTTTTGAACATATGCCGTTTTTGGTCGAAAACTCTGAAATCATGACGTCACTAAAACCTCGATATCTCAAAAATTTTCCGACTGATTTTTTTTTGAAACTTTGTCACAATAAACTTCAATCAATTGCCTACAGGTACCCAAAATTTGGCGCGCCTGCAGCGCGCCGTTTTTATGCTATGGCCCGGCGACAAAAGTGGGGGCATTTAACGCCCCCCCCCCCCTCAGGGGCGGAGCTTCCTATTCACTTGGTGGGGCGGCTGCCCCACCAACTTGCCATTTTGCCCCACCAATAAGAGTTTTGCCCCACCAACTTAAGCCAATTTGCAGGACTTTACTGCTCAGCAAACCAATGTTTTTCGCATTGAGGGGCTTTAAAATGTCTGTGTAATGCAAAATATCATCTCCGTAATGAAAGGGATTGATTCACTGTTTTATTTTATCTAACTGAACAATCGGACATTGTAGGTTTGACAACGTTTTGCCCCACCAACTTTCTTGGAAAAGCTCCACCCATGCCCCCAGCAACTCGCGGGTTAAAGCTAGAAACCTGATTTTTTTGTATAGCTGCTTTTCTATCTTTTCTCAGCGTCCATTGAAAATTTCAAGTTTCTGTGGCTTTTGGGTTTGGAGATATGACCTTGTTCTTCAGGTCATGTCATGTCCTAAATGACGAATACCCAATATCTTGCGATGGCTATGGGCCTTGTGAGCTTTTGACACGCTGATTTCGGCTTTTTTGCCAGTCTTACCTCCCACCTATCATTGAACATGTTGTTCTGCGATGTACAGATGTCAGGGTCAGGGTCAAGGTCAACCTAGGTCATATAAAATTATTGCGCTTTAGGCAAGCTGAATTTACTTTTCGTGAAGTTTCTTTGCCTGTATGTTTAGTAAAAGCTTCTCAGTTCATGATCAAGTGTAATAGGGACACACAAACCGATCTGTGCACACATCAGTACATACACAGACATACACAGACATACAAACACATATCATTGACCTTGACCTAACGTGAAATGACCACAGCCAGCAAATTAGTCGGATGGTGTGACAAAGAGGTGTTCTAGCTGGCTTGGCACTAATACGGCAGCGTCATCGGTATATGATGGGTTGGCCCGCTGTTTGTGTAGGTATCTTATTCGACATCACCACAATTTTTTCTTACAAGATTTTAAGCCTTGCGGTCAAGAGCAACAGATTCTTTGGGAAGAGACGAATCCAATGATACCAATTTTACCTCATCAGGTCAGTCATTGACCTTCCAGTTCAGGTCAAACTAAAGAATGTTGCTGTTTGGGGTCACCGTTGCCCGTTGGAATATCACGTGCGCTGCTCATCATATACCGATGACGCTGCCGTATTGTGATGCCAAGCCAGCTAGAACCTCTTTGTCACACTATCCGACTAGGTTTTTGCTTGCTGTGGTCATTTCAGGTCAAGTTAGCTCAAGGTCAATGACATGTGTTTGTATGTCTGTGTGTGTCTGTGTGTATACTGATGTGTGCACCGATTGTGAATGTGTCCATATTACATGAGATCATGAACTGAGAAGCTTTTACCAAAAATACAGTCAAAGAAACTTCACGAAAGTAAATTCAGCTTGCCTAAAACGCAATATTTTTAGACGACCGGTTGACCTTGACCCTGACCCTGGCATCTCTACATCATTGAACAACATGTTCCATGTAATAATTGAATGAGGACTTTACTCCACAAGAAATCGTTCGGGTCGGAGCTTTCGAATTGTATTACAAAGCTTCGTCAGCGTATCGTAATCGGGTTCGTAATCGGGTTCGCCCTCAATTTTGCGACCGATACCCCCGAACCCGATTACGATACGCTGACGAAGCTTTGTAATACAATTCGAAAGCTCCGACCCGAACGATTTCTTGTGGAGTAAAGTCCTCATTCAATTATTACATTAGCAAACTCCACATCATGTCCTTTAGTGAACATGTTCCATGATAGGTGGGAGGTAAGACTGACAAAAAAGGCCGAAATCAAGGTGTCAAAAGCTCACAAGACCCAACGCCAACGCAAGATATTGGGTATTTGTCATTTGGGTTATGACATTACCTGAAGAATAAGGTCATATCTCCGAAACCAAAAACCACAGAAACTTGAAATTTTCAGTGGACGCTAAAAAAGGATAGAGCAGCAGCTATACGAAACATCCGACTTCTAGCAATCAAAATGTTTAGTGCAGAGCAGAACAAAACTACCTAGGGCGGGGGGGGGGTGGCAACCACTGCCCCCCCCCCCATGTGAGGACGAGGATTACCTAAGTAATTTGAATATCAGGAAAATTATTTATTAAATCAGGTATTCCAACAAAGTCCCGCTTTTTTATAGGTGACCTCCGATTTGTGTTGCATCTAAGTTGCCCAGGGGGCCTCTTATTTGTAATTGTAGGTAGAGTACAGAGAGCCTCCTACTTCGACTACTTGCACAGAGAGCCTCCTAGTGTACATACAGCTAAGCTTCTACAGGTCGAGCGCCGATCTCCTGTACGTACAGAGAGCCTCCTACTGTTACAGAGGGCCTCCTGTTTGTCTAGGGGGCCTCCTATTGGTTAACGGCGCCTCCTATTTGTCCAAGCGGCCTCCTATTCGTCTATGGGGCCTCCTATTTGTCCAGGAGGCCTCCTGTTTCTCCAGAAGGTCCCCTATTTATCCAGGGGGCTTCTATTTTCCAGGGGGCTTCCTCTTTATCTAGGGGGCCTCCTACGTGTTCAGGGGCCTCCTATTTGTCCAGTGGCCTCCTATTTATCCAGGGGTCTTTTATTCGACTAGGGGTCTCATATTTGTGCAGGGGCCTCCTATTTGTCCTAGGGTCTCCTACTTGTCCCGGGGCCTCCTTTTTTTGAAGGGACTCCTTTTTGTTAAGGGAGCCTTCTATTTGTCCAGGGGGCCTCCTATTCGTACAGAGGGCCTCTAGCTCCTACTTGTCCATGGAGCCTCCTATTTGTTCAAGAGGTCCCCTATTTGTCCAGGGGGCCTCCTATTTGTCCAAGGGACCTGTTATTTTTCTAGGGGGCCTCTTTGCCCAAGAGGCCTCCTATTTGTCCAGCGTGCCTCCTACGTGTTCAGGGGGCCTCCTATTTGTCCAGGGGGCCTCCTATTGGTTAAAGTAGCCTCTTATTTTCCAAGCGGCCTCCTATTTATCCAGAGGGCTCCTATTTTTAGGGGGCCTCCTCTTTATCCAGGGGGCCTCCTTCTTGTTCAGGGGGCCTCCTAATTGTCCAGGGGGCCTCCTTTTGTGAAAGGGGCCTCCTATTTGTCCAGGGGGCCTCCTTTTGTGAAAGGGGCCTCCTGTTTGTCTAGGTCTAGGACCTTCTATTTGTCCAGGGGGCCTCCTATTTTTGCAGGGGGCCTCCTATTTGTACAGAGGGCCTCCTACTTGTCCATGGGGCCTCCTATTTGTACAGGGGGCCTTTTTTGTG